TCACGAGTGACGGTGTGTAGACACTTCCCCGCCCACTCGCGGCGCGGCCAGGAGGGCTGCGGCGCGCCGAGCTGCCAGCGCAACCCTGCCGGCCCCGCCGCATCCTCCGCGGGGCTGCGCGCAGCGGGCCCGGGCGAGCTCAGGGCTGCTTGTAACAGCTCTGCTAACTTCTCTCTCCTACAGCCGTAAGAGCGAATCTGGGAACACTGGTTGAGTTGACACAGCATTCAATCACAGCTGGTTTTACACGGTCTGGTCTACATTAACCAAGCCAGTCAGGGTCATGTCACTGCTGTGTGCCTCAGTTTCCCTCCCTGGAAGACGAGAGTAGCTGCACTTGTCTCATTTGGCAAGTGCTCTGAGAACTAATGATGAGAAGTTCCCCAGAAGGACTAGGCGTCTGGATGCCGAGCGCTGCAGCGGTGCGATTCCATTCTTTGTGCTTGTATCTGCACGCCGTACGTTTTGTAATGTGAACAAACCCATGTTGCTAGACAAGCGTTCAGTGGATGTGCAAGTCTTCAAGTTCAGGTCTTTTTAAGATGGAATTGCTTGATCCCAGAACTGTCAGGCTGAGGCCCAGCACTAGAAAATGGGAGGCTTGCATCTTATTTTTCACACCTTTGTGATTGGGCAAGTTTTCTTTGTCCTGGTTCTAAACTCCATCCTGTATATAAAACATACAGGGGTGGTGCTAGGCTCTGTTCTCTGCTGTTAGGGAGTTACTTCTTCTGAAGTCAAGTTATTTTTAAGCCAAAAGGGACCGCTGTGATTATATATAGTGGAATGGGGGCCATCCTTTTTTGTAAGTGTGTCACGAATTAGCTCCAAACCCTCCCCAGGTGCCACTCCGATGCACTTCACCTCCCTGGTTTGCTGCTCTGTTTCCTGCTCCCTGGCCACTGTTCCCTGCCAATCTGCTCTCTGTTCCCTCTGCCACTGCTGCCTGTCACCTCCCTGATCTGCTGCATACCCCACACAGCAGCTGCCCGTCCCATTTGTGGCACCCATGCTGCACCCTGATCTTTGACCAGCAGAACGTGACCTTAAAGAATCTTGCCAGTAAAAGCCACATCCTGTTTATTCTAAAAATATGTTGCTGCTTCCCATCCAATTTACTGGCTTTGGTTTTGAGCTGCAGAATCTTGTAATGTATTTTTTCTTGCTAGTTCAGAGATGTCGAATAGAAATCTTTCCCCCAAGTAGATATTTGTACACTGATTGTTTTCTCTCAACTTCTCTCTAAACACCTTGCTATAAGACATGTTTTCCAGACTTCAGTTCTGTTCTGTCTCCTTACGAGTTTACCAACATCCTTCTTATGTCATGTTCTGTTGTTTGATTTCCAGGTCTTGCTAATGTTACACCTCTTCCTGGTGCTCTTTGATATTCTGTTGCTTGTACGGTCAACGATCATGTTTGCCATGCATAGCAATAGCACTGCAGTAGGAGCTCATGTTCAGTTGGTTATCTACTGTTACCAAGTCCTTTTCAGGGCTTATCTGGACTGCCACGTTTTGTTTCGGATGGTATGCTCAAACTGGCCTAATTTGAGTGAGAATGATGGTGACTGTGAAAACACTAGAGCTATGCAGAATGTTTGGATTAGCCTTTGATGGGCTGTTGTAACTGCAGACATTGCATCCTTACAGCATTACTGTATTAATTACTGTATTAATACAGTCACTTGCAAGGCTGAATATTTACATCTGCATATTCAAGTGAACCTACCAAATCATGCCAGTCTAGCTGACCTGTTCCCATCATTGTTTACTCTACCATAAAACATTTTTTGCTGATTTCTTTTTGGATCCTTCCCTGTTGCTTGTAACTCTAAAAGGTATATTTTTGAGGCATAAATGTTTTCAATTTTTTCCCCAAGTTGATATTTCTTAAAATATTTCTGGACATGGCTAAAACTTGCCTATTTTGCCTTGTTTTCTGATCAAATTTAGGGAAATGTTAAAATTAGCTATGATTTCCTCCAAGTTGTTGTTTTGTTTGTTTACTTTTTTGTAATTCTGTTGACTTAAAGCTAATTTTAACTGAATTGTAAAAGCAATTGCTATGTAATAAAGATAACCTAGAAGCGCACAGGTTAAAAATGTTTTCAGTTGCTTAATAGGGGCTAGTACTGTACTGCTCTTGTCTTTTTTAAATTTTATTTCTCTGAGGAAAGAGCTTGTTCTGTGAATTATGTGAGCTCTTGGTTACTTCATGTAAACATCTGTATGATCATAGAGTGCAGAACCTTAGATAAATATAAATTTCAGGTAGACAGGAACAAACATTAATTAGATATTGATGTGTGTTTTGCAAACTTTGTCTGCTTTTTAAACATTCAGTCAAACTAGGGAAGCTGCCATCTGAATGAAATTCTAGATAATGAATTGTTTATGAAAGTCTGATAGGACCAAACTGAATAATCATGTTTTGTAGCCACTTTCAAATGAAATGGTCTTGAACTAGAGAGAAACTAACAAATTCAGTCTATATTTTTAAGACTTTGAAGCAGGAAAGCGCTTTCCTGTACTTGAAACCTAGACCAGGAAGTAGGGAATTAAGAGGAGGAACCTTTGCTTTATATGAAGTTCTAAGTGTGAACTCACCATGCTACCGAAATCTGATAAGCGTCATGACCCCTTTTTACATGCTTAGAACATGAGTGGGTTGGTGGTGGTTGTGCTACACTAAATTTAATGTTTGAGGAAGGGGAAATTCCATGCCTTGACAGGCCTGGAAACTAAAAATATTCTTTCTCATCATGAGCAATGAAAATGCAAATCTCTCCATGCTGCTTTGCTAAGGTTCTTCAAAGCCTGTTCTAAGTGTTTCTGCCTCTAAAGGTAATTTTCTGCAGGGTGAGGTTTATTTAAGCTAAATGCTTTAAAAATCATATGTGCATTATAACCATTACCTTTTGAAAATGTACCAGTCTTCATAGTAGATGCAAACTCCTGTTATTTCTTGGAGGTATTTTAGGGAATTGACCTTTAAAGGATATGCTGGGGTAAGAAAGTGTGGGGGGGGGGAGGGGAATGGTTATTGTAAGGTGTATGGTGCTAATAGAATTTTTGTTCCACTTCACTGTAGAAACTTAATTTCTGTTTGTACAGATTTGCAAGCCAAACAAAAATCTGTGAGATGAATCTGTAATGTGTGGAAAGCTCTTGCCCAGACCTTCTATGGTGTTCTAATTAACATCTTTTTTATGGCAGAAATATGATGGCTCGACCAGATTCAGATTTCAGAGAGGAGGCTCTAAAGGAGGATTTAAAGTTTTATTTTATGAATCCATGTGAAAAATACAGAGCCAGACGCCAAATACCGTGGAAACTGGGTTTGCAGATTCTGAAGATAGTTATGGTTACTACACAGGTAATATTTTTTCTTTCTTAAATACACTGTTACAAAATCTAAAAGATGCAGGAAGAGCAACAAATCAATGGTCCTGAAGTATTACACTCCTTGGGGTCTTTAGTAATATATGTTTTCTTTCTGAAAAATCTCCTGTTAGAAGAAAGGAATGGAAACCCCCACGAAGAAGGGTAGGTGGGCACTGTGGAAGGAATCAACAATGTAAACTAAACCATAAGCCTTCTAAATAGCAATAGAGGAAAACTAGAACAAGTACAGTGAGAGACTGGAAGTGACTGGCCTTCTGTTTTACTGTGTGCTTGTTTAAAAGGCTAGGTACAGAAGTTACACACAAGCCGGTTTAAGTGATCAGAAACTGGTTTAAACTTAAAAGTTCGGCACACACAAACCACTTTCAAAATGGCTGAAACTGGTTTAAGATAAACCTGGTTGAATGTAGTATCAGACTTAACTGATTTAGGTCAAACCGATTTATGGAACTTCTATCCCAGACATCTTCCTGGTTCAAAGTCCCCCAGCATCCCAGGATGCTTTGCAGCCCTGGGCTGTGCCGTCTGCTCCAGTGGAGCAGGGTTGACTCTGTCCCTGCTCCCTAGCTGGAGCACTGTCACTGTTCTGGCTGGCTGAGAAGGGGGTGGGAAACCCTTCTTGGGACTGCAGCTGGGTTTGTTTGGTGGGGGCAGAGCAGCCGCTCACAGGCTTTTCCCCTACTCACCCCTCCAGCAGAGGAGGCGGAGGTGTGGCTAGACACTAGTCCCAGGCTGGCACACTGAGGCAAAGGGGAGGGAGGAAGGTTTAAACCCCTCTCCCAATGGCATGAACGGTGGAGGTGAGGGCGTGGCCAGATGCGGGCCCTGGCCTGGCACACTGAGGTGGAAGGGGACAGGGGGACCCTTCCCTGCTCTACTTCAGCGTGCTGGCTCAGGGCAGGTGTCTGGCCATGCCATCACTCAAGTGGCAAGTGGGGAAAAGCCTGACAGAGGCTGCTTTCCCTCTCTCCTGCCCCTCCTCGAGGCCTACCCTGGTTGGGGACCATACAGGCCAGGGTGGGGGCTTACTCCCTGCGCCCAATCATACTCGTCAGTCCTGTCAGAGCCCAGTTCAAAAGGGAAGGAGGAAAAGACTGGAGGACTTCTCTCCCAGCTTCCCTCCAGCCTTCCTGCCACTGCTGAAGGAAAGGGAGGGCTTGCCTGAGAACCCCCTCCCCCCAGCTTCTAGTCTGAGCCACTGCAGTCATGTGGCTGCATTTCCAGAATCAAAAGTGAATGTTTATTCACTTGCTTCTCAGTTCAACCTATGCAGTTTAGAGTAACCTGTAAAGATTGAATTGATTCAGACTCGGGCTTTTGTACGTCTATAGTTAGCCAAAGTGTGCATGTGTTTTGAGGGGAAGGGTGAGTTGTTCAAAATCAGTGGAGGCAACCTTTTTGGCAGGCATGCCACAAATTAGTGCTGTACCCTCCCCAGTTGCCACTCCAGTTCCTTTCCCTGACTAATTGCCTACACTTTCTGCCAGTCTTTTTGCTCCTTGACCAATCTGCTGCTCTGCCTTCTGCTCCCTGCCCTCTGTGCCACGTGCCGCAGGCTGCCTGTGCCATTTGGCGGCATGTGTACTGCAGGTTGGCTACCTGTTTTAGGGCAAGCTAAGCACTAATGTCATGGCATGGTTCTGAAATGTTTGGCTTCATTGCTGCTGCCCCACTATATGCTCCATGCTTCCCATTGCACACACAACCCTGATAGACTTGATCTTGGTCTTGATATTGTTGGCAGACATCCAATCCAACAAGTGCAGATACTGTGCTATTAATGTAGCCAACAACTCTGAACATTCAATCTAGATCTGTGAATAGCTCTCTGGCAAAATCAGGGTGATGACTGAACTGGGAATGGGTTACAATGTCTATGTGTCACCTGATTACACCCAGTGCACTGGTTTAAGACAAGCAGTCAGGACAGAATAGAATAGTATCCGTTCTAGAATAGTATCCATTAAACAGGTACATACAATTCCCAGATATAAGCTCAGTTGCTAGAACTTGGTATCAGTGCTTGATACTCTCTCTTATTTACCCCATGCTTTTAGATAAAGCCTCCTTTGCTTTCTGACCCCCTTCTAGCCACATAGGCAAGTGAGATTGCCCTCGTCCCTCAATGTTAACAGTGTGTTACCTATACAGAGTTCTAGACGATGGCTGCTGGTGTTCTAATAACTGGGTTGCCTAATACAAACCATGCAAGTCTTATCCAGGCTTGTGGTAGTTCTAGCACAGTTGCTACTGGCTGTGAATTTGCTAAGAACAGTGGTGAGATTCTCTTTCAGGATTGTGGTGGGGAAGGTTAGCACAGACACAACCTGGTAATATCGGGTGGAGACACAATTTTCACCTGATCTGGCCACAAAAAGCAGTTTACAGCTTCCATCAAAATTTCCTGCAAGGTATTATCACAAGCTAATGGGCAATAGTATCCTGTTTCCAGAATTGCCTACCAGCTGCTGGTGTAGCTTTTTATACATTGCTTAGTGGATTGTTATATTTCCCACAAGCTCTTGCATGCAGACTTGCAGTTCTGTGGAATGAGGCAATACCTATACTCACAGGGAGGCTTTGTAACCTTCACTGCTACTTAGTTCATCCTAACCCACCAACCCTTAGTTTTGTAGTGACAGGAGGATTCCTTGATCCTCTGCTTGCTGTTCCAGTCTCTGTCCTGCCTGCCTCCTATGTTGGGATTGTCTGTCATTCGTTGTAAGAGATGGTGCACTGTTCTGCTTTCTAAGGCTTCTAGCCAGTTCAGGTGCCTTAACCTTTTTAGGGGTGTAGGTTGCAGCCGTGCTGGTCTAAGGACATAGGAAGATAAGGTTCTTTGGGTGAATCGGATATCTTTTATTAGACCAACTTATATTTAAGTTGTTCTAATAAAAGATATCCGATTCACCCAAAGAACCTTGTCTGCCTATTAGCCTTTTTAGCACCTTTCAGAATGGAATGCCTCTCATTCCAGTCCTCATGCAACTGCTGATGAAGAGGATTATTAATGGGCACATGGGCAGGTCCTAATGATGATCCTCAAATTCTGGACTGAGGCTGGGTACCCTACAGTAAGGTAAAGGCTATTTGTGTCTTATTTTCTGGAATGCAGAAGAGGTTTTCAAATATGAGTACGTTTTATACAATATTGTACTAAGGTACTTTAGTTTCCACATTTCCCAAAATCATCACCGACCTACTGCACTTCTCGTCACAGTTCAGAAGATCTCTAACATACAGCTATTAAGGTGCAAGTGTCATGACTTTATTCGTTAACACTGCTTTAACAGCTTTGCAATTCATAGAGCATCTAACTAGCTATTCCCAAACCCTGCTCAATCCCCTGAAGAATCCTGCAGACATTGTGGTGAGAATTCAGGGCTGGTTCTAAAGGCTGCATGGATATAACTGTGCATGGATGACCTGGAATCCCCTTTTCTGCTTTTTCTGGTTGCAAACCTGCCACAAACATGCCTTGCTGCTAACAGTGTGTCCCTGTATACTCATTTAGCTCAGAAGTAACTAGTTACTCTCCAGGAGAGACAAGGATGTACTCACTGGAGGAAGAAAAATGGATTTTCCTTTTTTATCCTTAAAAAGCTGCAGTAATATAAACCCTGGGAGTTCACTTATCTGAGAGAAGGATTTTCAGCCTGTCCTTATCTCTTTCTTTTTTCATTCTCTGATAGTTTCTTTGTACTTTTTTCTTCTGTGCTCTCCCTCATTCTACTGGCTTCTTGTAGGACTTGAGATAATTCTGGGCTAATGAGCCAAATAATTCTGCTTCTGGCTGAGAA